TCATATGGGTGTCAGCGGTCGGAGGGCATGCCTGTGTGGTGACACTGATGATTTGTCAGCACAGATGATTTGTTAGAATAATTAACGTGGCAGGTTAGGTGAATTAACGTGGCAGGTTAGGAGAACTAATGCAGTAGGTAAGGTGAATTAATGTAGCAGGTTAAGAGAATGAGGTTAAGGTTAGGAAAAGAGTTAGGGTTAGGCTTAGCTACAATGCTAGTTGTCAACAACTGTTGTCCCGGACGCGACCACTAGATGGAGCTGTAGGCCTACGAGATCCAGCCACAACGATATAAACGTAAACAACCCGGCTGTGATGACAAATCATCAGTATCATAACACCTGCCTCACGCCCGGGGCTGGGAATTATTGCTCAACAGAATGTGATTAAAATCAATACATCGCCAACTATACCTGCTCCATCACTCAGTGCAGACATCCACACACCTGTCCGATAAACTGGCTGTACTGCAGAGAGAGAGAGAGAGAGAGAGAGAGAGAGAGAGAGAGAGAGAGAGAGAGAGAGAGAGAGAGAGAGAGAGAGAGAGAGAGAGAGAGAGAGAGATAAAGAGAGGGAGGGAGGGAGCGAGGGAGACATAGAGAGAGGGAGAGGGAAAGGGAGAGGGAGAGGGAAAGAGAGAGAGAGAGAGAGAGAGAGAGATAGGGGTGGAGAGAGGGGAACAGGATAACATTTGATCCCCATCTAAACAATAACAAAATCAACCAGTGAAAAACAGGTGTCAGCTCGAGTGAGTTGGTGGTGAACATGTTGGTTGTCGTTGGTGTGCCCAGCAGTGTGACCTGGGCCAGAGTTGTACGCTTGGTGAGTGAGGAGATTAGCGGAAATGGCACGTGTTAAGTAACAGCGTGTGATACGGTGAGTTAGAGAGGGGGTAGGCAGGCAGCAGGTGCACTGTTGACACAATAAACATCCACACGGACAGAGCCAAACTCCAAATAACTCATCCAGCTCGCAGCACAGAGAGGAGAGGGAGAGGGTCAGGGGGATGACACAGCTGCATGTGTTTCATAAGTCATGCCACAGGAGGAGGTGAACTTTGGTGCCGCTGCCTGCCTGCCTGCCTTCCCTCTCTGTGTTTTTCCAACTCTGCTGCTCATCCATGGATCTCCCTCTGACAGCCCACTTCGATGTTGAACATGTCAATAAAGCACTGTCAGACAGAAAATGACAGAGAGAAACACGGAGAGAAAATAGGATCAGATGAAGAGAGATAAGAAATGACACATCAAGACAGCAACCAAATGACATGGTCACTGTCAAATGCTCTATTACAAGCTGTAGGGTGTCTAATCAAAAACGCATCTTTTGAACAATGGGTAAAAATATGTTAATTGTATAGATACTCCTATGAGAAAACCAACGGTCCAAACCTCACATCTCTATCATAATCTGTTCAACAATTATGGGAGTTTTTACCCTTGTAGGATAACCCAAAATTAGGCTGACTAAATCAATGGAGGCCAGATAAAAAAAGTGGTCAAAAATCAAGAAAATAGCATTGCGTCAGTTGGTGCGAGAAATAAGGCTAACTGACAGGCTCACCGTTGAACTCTTCATCTTTCCTCTCGAATCCAGAGGACATAAAACAATATAGAGGTAAGATAGATATCGATTTTGAGACGAGATGTAGTATTTTCATATTTTAGTATATGCTTTCATATTAATGAGAAATTCGTTCTTTTTCAAAGATTTCTCAAAATCTTTGAATCAGCCTTTTACAAGTAATTCAGCTCGTGTCATGCTAATTTTGCTTTTTACGACCGGTGGAAACAACTTTACAGATGACTACAAAAACATGTAAAATCCTCAAAAGTCACTGAAAGAAAGCGGCCTGCTCTGTCAACAGAGCTTGGTGCTTATAGAGTACCACAGTATGAGTCATAATACCCATAAAACATAGCGGTCAAACAGGGAAATGGTTCCAATTGTTTTTTCACCATTAATTTTTCCCAAAGGGGCTTTTAGAAACACTTAAAATAAGGGCTGTGTTTCGTGTAGGCTTACCCTGACGTGACGTTTTGAAAACCGTGTAAATCTCTCTCGGACAAGGTGACTTTTATCAATATGTTTGCCTGCATTTACCCCCAAAAATGAAATGCTAATTAGCTGCTAATGTGGCTATCATAAAGTACTACAAATGCCATGATGATCTGGATGAGACTGCCGAATCGAGGCAAAGATAAGAATCTCTGGATTAACTATCTAATGTTACCTAAATGTAGTAATTTATAAATTGGCTAAATTTCCTTAGATTTACAATTCTGTGAACTGTCTTGGGCAAGTTTTAAATTTACACAATACCTGTTAGTAAAGGTGTCAGCTAAAGATAATGTGCAGGAGCTTGCAGGGATTTGTAGTCTTGCATGATGTCTACGTTGATGCTAATTAGCATTTTTGAATCTGACACTAAATAGAGCTGAATATATTGATAAAAGTCACCTTGTCCGAGAGAGATTTACAAAGTTATCAAAATGTCACGCCAGGGCAAGGGCAAGTCTACACAAAACACAGCCCTTATTTTGAGTGTTTCTTAAAATCCCAGATGGGAAAAATGAATTGTGGAAAAAAAGATTTTAACAATTTCCCTGTTTGACCGCTAGGTTTTATGGGTATTGTGACAAGTCCACTGTGGGGCTCTATTATCGGATATATTAGGTTACAAAATCCTACTTTTTGGATATTATGTTAATGATATGTTAGAGAAATACCCCACTGAACAATTCAGAACATGAAGGATCATATTTGTTTTGGTAAAATGTATTTTATAACATAAGCAAGTAACATTTCATCACCAATGTGTGTTTTCACCCACTCTGGGCAGTTGGAAACTCCACTATGGCTGTAACCATCTGCCACAGAGGTTCAGCTAGGCTGCACTTAACAGGGAAGTGAGGGCTATGAGGAATTTTGGAGGACAGAAAAAACACTTTCTGGATTTCTTAACACACACACATTCTGAAGAAGAGATCAGGTTATGTAAGAGAGCAGCCCTCATCCCAAACCTGAAGGCCCAGCTCGATCCACCCACCATGCTGTTTACTAAAACAAAGCTGACCTATGTTTGGTAAAAGGAGAGAGCACCACGCAGTTCTGTTCCTGTCACCCTGCTCCTGGACACCCGTCTCCTCCTCCTCTGACACTGAGGTGTGGAAACAGGGCCACTAACAGCCAGAGACGTTTCACAAAGGAAGGACATCCACACGTCCTTGGTTGGTCACCACCTCCATCTCTCCAACTGCACAAAGTTGTTCTGTTCTCCAACTACTGTGTGTCATCCAATGGCAAATGAAACCATCTAAAGTACTTTACTAGTTTTCCCCTTCATTAGCTCCTAAATAAATTGTGGGAAAAAGATAAAAAATGACCCCTCAAAAACGACATACGTTTCAGGCATTACAGTGAGTATACTTTTTTATTTTTATGAAACAGCCGAAATAAGGCCTTTACAACCAAATCTGTTAGTTATAAACCCTGATTACTACTACTAGAGCACGTTGAACCTTACCTGAGAAAAAAAGAGAATAGTATATTGGTAAAAATATCTAATTAACTCCCTGTCCTTTAAGCTGTTTGTTCAGACACCTGCCAATTTAGGTGGTTCAAAGCTAAATTATATCCATAGATATCCACCCGACTGGGGAAGACAGCATCCAAAATGGAAAGGATTATCTCCATCCTTGTAAGTAGACGTCGGAAAATCATTTCATAATTTCCAAGAAATACATCTGGAAAGTACTAGATGTTATCTTCAGCTCAAGATCCTTCTTGGATGTGGTGCCCTGATGGACTGAAACACCTCTCCTGTTTTTATACATGATTTGTGGAAAATAATTCAAATGTCAACACAGAAAAAACAAACATAATGCTTGGCCTGGTGGGGACTGAGCAGAGGCATACACAGTGAGACTGTTTATCACTTTCAACAGCCTACACGTGCAATGTTTCCTCACCAAATACAGAGCAGCACTACTCTGATTCACCCCACTCAGTTCACACAGAATGGTTTAATGTGTGAGGGTAAGTGGGCATAACATTTTGTCAAATGTTCTGAAGCTCAGAACCCAAGCACCATTACATTATGAAAGACATACTTTAAATGTCAAGTTAACCAATGAATAATGGGTTTAAAACTAAAAGACTGAATAACAGCAGGTGAAACCCGACTATGCTGACACCTAGAGAAGGAATACGTCTACATTGAAACATGCGACTACTGCCACCTTGTGGTTGTTAGTAATAGCATCATTGACAGTTTTATGGGTGTATGTTACCACCCAGTATCATAGGATACATTTTGCCCACAACCTGCTCCAACAGCAAGGGTGATACTGATGCAAAAATATTTAATTATTGAGTTGTACTCAGCTCAATGTTTACAGATAACAGGGCATTTGTTTAGAAATGCTAGTCTGTAAATTGTGAAAACAAAAAACATATCTGTGAAAAGGTGATCGTCTGCTCAGTTCGCTGCTACCAAACATGCCCTACTAACTTAATGTTTCCACCATATTAGTCTTCTCAATAAGGGCGATCTCCAATGCCCACATAGGCTTTTGCCAAACAAACTTTGAGGTCATTCAATTCTCATTTATTAAGTCATTTACAGACGCTCTTATCGAGAGCGATTTACAGTTTGAGAGTGCATACATTATTTTATTTTTTTTTCATACTGGCCCCCTGTGGGAATCGAACCCACAACCCTGGCGTTGCAAACGCCATGCTCTACCAACTGAGCTATTCCCTCCCCTACCCTGGACGACGCTGGGCCAATTGTGCGCCACCCCATGGGTCTCCCGGTCACGGCCAGCTACGACAGAGCCAGGATTCGAACTAGGATCTCTAGTGGCACAGCTAGCACTGCGATACAGTGCCTTAGACCACTGCGCCACTTGGGATCATTGGATTCATGATGCAAACGTATTCCCCGCTCTTTAAAATGAAAGCAGACTTTGCATCAAGACTTACAAAAGAAACAAGGGGTATTTATTGCATCAATACAGCAATGTATCACATGCCAATTTACGTTCCTCAAAACAGAATCAGAATAACCTTTATGCAAAGGGAGATGTCTATATGCCTGTGACAAGACACATCTAAGACAAATGATGAATAGAATTTTACCTACCAAATTTCAAAATAGGAGTTATGATACAGTAGTTTACAACTGCAATGAGAATGGGATTGCAAGAAATCATGTGATGTTTAACTGAGCAGGCATCCTGTAGTCCCATATGGTCACTCAATTAGAACTGTCTGTTCAAGCGAACAAAAAAGTATACACAAGATAAGTTCAGCATATTATCTGTAACCTTACCTGAGTCCTGACCATTCAAATACAATGAGGGTGATCACAATATAGTGTTCTGTTTACTTGTTGAAAAACAAAAACAGTGGGTGCTGACTTCTTTTCATATTTAAATGATACCAAAAGTAATGTTTTAAAGCAGTGCAAGCCATAGTAGCTGCGACATTTAAATCACACGAGTTATGAAAACACACAATAGAATATTCAAAAAGTATGTACTTGGCCGTGGACAATGCATGGATCCCACAGAATTAGGAAAATAAAGTTCATGTGCAGCTACAGTTACAAGCCAACACATACTTAAAACACCAAAAAAGGGGCATCATCTACCTTCATATGCCCTGTTGACATTTTATGGGGATCACTGCTAGTGTATGATATTCCGGCTTCAATGTACACAGAGATATTACTACAACACCCTGTAGCTTGGCTCTAGTGTGAAACAGTCAATTTCACTCCCTCATTCATTCTGCCTACAGCCAGACATTCTCAGATACGATAGGGGTATGCCTGTCCATCTGAGTCCACTAGCCATTGACAGGGTTCAGAGGGGTTTAGGCAGGGCAGAAACCTCCTCGAAACACTCATCATAGGCCTCCTTATAGTCCTCATGAGATTTGATCATGATGACGCAGGTGGGCCGCTTTGAGCCAGCAGATGAACCAAGGTCCTGAAGAGACAAATCGCAGGGTTATAAGGCAATCATTCACATCACCATATGTTTAGCCGGACTAGAGATGAAACCCCTGAACAAATGGGATGGTATGTGATTTACTGGGGGAAAACTAACATATGTCAGCAATTCATAGTAAGCTATAGATAACTGTCAAAATAAAGGAAACACTTGAGTAAATGAGGGATACAAAGTATTTAGAAAGCAGGTGCGTCTACACGGGTGTGGCTCCTGAGTTAATTAAGCAATTAACATCCACATAATACTTAAGGTAATATATAAAAAAGCCCAGTTGCCCATTATTATGGCTACCATGGCTAGAAGACCTCCGACTTTGAAAGAGGGGTCTCAAAGGATCATGGGGGGTTTAAAGTGTCAGTCACCAGATCAACGCAATTGAACACTTATGGGAGATTCTGGATCAGCGCCTGAGTGTGTTTTCCACCACCATCAACTAAACACCAAATAATGGCATTGCATCTCTCCAATAGTTCTAGACACTTGTAGAATCTATGCCAAGATGCATTGATGCTGTTCTGACAGCTCGTGGTGGCCCAACGCCCTATTAAGGCACTATGTTGGTGTTTCCTTTATTTCGGCAGTTACCTGTATATGGTTTACATTTTCCTTCAAGATGTATAGGTAAAATGATTACTCACCACTTTTGAGGGAATGTAGGCATATGGCAGACTCCTGTCCTCACACATGACTGGTACATGGCAGTAAACATCGATTGGAAGAGTATCCCCAGCCAACACCACAATGCTGCAAAAAAGTTACATGTTAGTTATCTGGATGTTACACCTAAACAGGGGATAATGCACCATACAGCTAACATTAGCACACTGAGAACAAAACTTACCCAGTCTCTCCTTTGTTGATAAACTTCTGGACTTCTTTCACTCCTCTGCGAATTTGTTTGAGTTTCGATGCTGAAAAGGGCCATAAGAGCGTTGGAAATAAGAAACGTGCTAGTCTTGTTGACAGTGCGGCAACAAAAATTTCAGTTGCCAACTCGCTAGCTAGGACACGTGCTAACGTAAGCAAGCTAGCTAACTTTCACTATTTACCAAGCTACACTACTTAGCTAGTTACCTGACTGTATATCACTAGCAAATACATTTCATATCTTAACGTGTATCTGGCGGTGGGTACATTAAGCTAATAAAACAGGTTAAATCACCCTTTTTGACACATTTGTAGAGCTTCTTGCTTAGCTTCTTGGTGGCCAGCGGATTCGCGATTGGGTTGATGTTTGCAATCAACTCTACATACGATTTCTCTGTCCCTCCAGTCTCCGTCGCTCCAGCCTCCTCCTTGATGGCTTTTTCCTTCTTTACCTTTGTCATGTTTTTGATTAGACAAAATGTTTGCTTGCTGTTTGCAGCGTGCTTTGCAAAGAGAAAAAAGCGACACACGTGCTGCCTAAAGTTTTCTGGTAGTTGCAACGTGTTTTCCTTCTTCTTCTTCTTCTTCTTCAATGGGGTTTAACGGCGGTTGGCATCCAATTTGTTGCATTACCGCCACCTACTAGACTGGAGTACAACTCCCTTATCTATTCCTTGAAAAATAAAATAAAACAAAGCTAATAAATACCCTACCATCTTATGGAGGACTAAAAGTGCCACAATTAAATAAATAAATACACCATTAAATAATTACTTAAATGTGTCATTAATTAATTAAATGTGTCATTAATTAATTAAAATTAGAATTAAATACATAAATGTGTAATTAAATGTATCATTAATTAATTCAAATACCGATTCATTTTATGTAAAATACATATATAATTATTTCACTATTTACATTTACATTTCATGGTCCTGCGTTGGAGTGATTCATGAATTACTTAAAACTGTCAAACTGACCCATCAAAAGTTGGTAGGCGGAACCTAACGCCTGATTGGTTACCCTCTGCATCAAGCCAAGACAAATCAATTCCGGATAATGGATTGATGCAGAGCTACTGAACACATTCCAATACACTGGGTGGCGCTATTCACCTCTACGTTGGTTTAGTTACACGGTTAAACAGTACTTTCATTGCAACGGCTAAAAATCAAGAGAAGACTCGGTCCTGCTAGCCCCAATGTTGAGACGCTGTGTGAGGTGCAGGACAAAATGTCTAAAAGTTGCCCGGAGCTGCTGAAAGAAGCAGCGAATTTGATTGAGGAAGCTCTGAGCAGAAGTCCAACGTCTCCCGCGGCACCGGTGACTCCGGCAGCTCAGTCACAGCAGATACCGGCCGCTCAATCACGTACACCTGTCCAAGGTAAGCTAAGTAATTTCATGTTAGCCAGGTGTGCTACTATTTAATGATTCGGGACACACGTGTAGGTTAAATTAGATCGACTCGAACATGTATTTGCATGCGGTATTATGATGCTTCGTGCGTGACACGTTTATTGTTAATGGGGGGGGAAGCATAAACCTAGCTAGTTCGCTAATCGGCTAAATGGTGTTAGCTGGCTTGAGCATCCCAAGATAGAAGTAGAGGCTGTTTTAGCTGACTGGTGACCATTGAGCTGTTACGTTTTTCTGTGTTGCAGCGGAGGTAGCAAGGCTCTTTGCGCCATATAACATTGGAGCCAGAAGGAATATGACGAGACGACCAGCACAAGTCCAAGTTAGCCGAAGAAGCTACACACACACTGTCTGTTGTTTGGCTGACCACAATGCGGATAAAATTCCAAGCGTACTGTTTAAAGCTGAACTTCTTACTTCAGGACTTGGAGAGCAAAAAGTAACATTTTCAGGTCAGTGCGAAACTAGGCATTTACCAAAAGTAAAAAAAGTTTGTACTGTCTGTGGCTTGTTGAAATTATTTGCATTTCTTTTTATAGTGACTCAAACTTAATTGGTGTTCATAGTGTCAATAATAGTTATCACAGGCTTATTTGCTTAATTTAAGGTGAGGTGAGTTATGATTTTGTTTTGTTTTTTTCTCCAGGGAATGACCACGATCCCATGGTTATAACAAATAAACTGATGGAAGTGTTTCCGAAGCTCCAACAAGGGGGAGGCTTTGAATTTCTAAAACTTGTAGGATCTACTCGCAGTCTAAATCTTGCGTTGCTTCAGTGTCCCAGCACTGGATACACCCTTGCCTATCTGAAAGATCCATCGACGATGATTGGACAGGCTACAATCTACATACGTCCACTTCAACAGGATCTACCCTTAGATTGTGTACATACATTTACAGAGACTTAGTTTAATACATAATCAAAACAAAGATTACTGGTGACTTTTAATCATTAATTAAAAGCCATTTGTTGTTGTTGTTGTTAGGAGAGCTCACGTCCTGCCTCTGGTCCAGTCATCCCCTGCATCACTTGTCAGAAGGAAGTTCCCTTTTCAGAGATGAAGCTGCACAGATTGAGCTGCAATGGGTATGTACTTCTTAAAGCAATGCAAGGGTAGCATAATTTATTTTCTTTGGGAATATGTCTCTCTTATTGTTGTGCACACAAATAAGCGAGTATGACCATCATTTCAATTGTGTTAACTTCAAGGACACCCATGCAGGAATCAGAAAGAGAACAAGAGGGAGGCCAAAGTGAAGAAAATGATAGTGAGACAGCCCTAGTCAGTGACAGTGTTCCAGTGAGGCCTGAAACATCAGCTGAGAGTGCAGTAGTACCGGCAGTGATTGTCAACGAGGAGTTGGATCGCAAAGAAACAGACAGTGGTTTGTGTCATCACAATAGTGTTGCTATAAGATTGTGTGTAACTGAAAAGTTAATAGAAAGATAACACCTGTAGGATATAATTAGATAAGATAATACAGTTACAGACAATTAATAACATGCAACTGGGTTTTTCTATTTTTCTAATATTTAGTTGTAGTTGTTTAGTAGTGCTGTTTTTATGTCAACTCAGCGTTGTGACAGGTTCTGAAGATGTTGGGTCTCACGTTTTGTCAGTGAAATGAACAGAATTTTCCTCCTGTTCTGTAGAGTGAGAGGATATCTGTATATGCAGGTAACATGCCAACTCACAATATGTCTCTCTGTAATAGATAACTTTATTGTTGTTGTTTGTTTAGAATGGAAGCTTATTAAAGAACCCACTCAAGCTGCCAAAGTTTTCAAAGAGAATCTGCTAAGGGAACATGCAACTGGGAAACCACTTAGAATGAAGATGGATGTAAGGGACTCTGAAGAGGACAGGGAACGGGAGCTTCTCTTATTCTATAAACAGCAGCAATAATGGGCATGTCCACTTCATTGTACTCTGGTTGGTAAGTAATATAACATTTATAATATAAATACATCAGTACAGTTTATACCACTCAAGTAGCTTATATGTAATTGTTAAATGGGAGAATGGAATGCACAAAATTATATAATTGATAAAAATGTTATATGTATGTATGTGAATATTGTGCACAATATACTCTTGTTATCTGGAATAATCAATATTAAGGATGCTATTCTAGAATTACAGCCAATAGAAGTTTTTCTCCCTTTCTTGTTAAATGTTACCAAATCCAGTTACCTGTATTAGGCCGCCACTTTTTTTCCAGTGTTATTATCAGTATTTTATTTCAGGTGATGTTGCTATCGGAGAGGGAGTGATGCGGTACTTTATGACAACAATCATATCCAAACTCCAGTTTGGATTCAGTCTAGATCTTGGTAAGTATCTTACTAATTTTTTGAAGGTTAATCCATCTATAAATTGCAGAAATGTCTGTCTGTAGCGCATGTCTCTCAGTTAGTCCGATGGATTTCAAACTTGACAGGTGTCTTGCTCTGGTCACGAGTAAGTGCAGTGCCAAGTTTGACGACGTTTGGATAAACGCAAAAGATAGCGTTACATATATAGGTAAAAGAAGCACACATTGGCTTTTGCCGCTCTTGCTGCTTGCCATTCTCACACTGCATGCAACGCTGACTGAGCACCTGTTTGTGTCGTGACTCACTCTACACCGCCTCTCTCTATGCGCGCGCACACACACACACGCGTACACGTACGTTCTGGTGGTTGATGAACGCGGATATGTGCTGTTTAGCGGAGGGCCGGTGGGCAATGTTTTGTGTCAGGTAAGTCTGTAGTAGGGTATACAGGGGAATTGAATTTGAAGTGGTTTGGGGTCCTTCTGTAAGTCATTTTGGAGTAGGCTACAATTTGGTTTAAGTGAATTCTACAAGCAGCAATACCACAGGCCAAGTAATCGCCACTAGTATGATGTAATATATCTATCTATCTATCTAACTATCTATCTATCTATCATACATTTTTATTTAATGCATTTAAGAGGTTAATTGTTGTGACTTTATTCCCTGCTCTCTTGGTACTTTACAGGAGGAATGGGCCGAACACTGCTATTTGAGGGTGAACCTGACCATCTTGTTCCAGCAGCATCAGAGGCACTTATTGAAAGCAACCTCTTCCGGGTTGCAGGAAGGATGTTGGGCCACACCTTTCTGCATGATGGTCCCCATGTCACAGGACTAAGTCCTGCTGTAATTCATGTACTGTTCAATGGGGACCCTGAAATGGCTACTGTTGTTACAGAAGAGTGTCCTGATCTGCACATCAGGAGCATCATAGAACTGGTATGTAACCTAAAAGAAACTTTGCCATGTAAAAAATATTGCTTGGGCAGATATAATAACTTGTATGGTCTTAATTCTAGCTTGAACATGTAGATCTTACACCGGAACAGAAGGACACAGTTTCAGATCTTTCCATGTCTTGGGATCTTCCGGCAGTCACCAAAACAAATCGGAGATGGCTACATAACAAACTTCTACTCCATGCAGTGAGTTCCTGCTGGTTAAGTGACAGAATTCATCGCTGTACTTGTTGAAATTATAGAATGTGTTGTGAACCCTGGCTTGTTATGTTAACACGAGAGTTTAAGTACTAGAGTTTTAATGGATTTTTATAAAGCACTTTGTGTTTATTAACATTTTTCCTACTGTGCCAACTTTTGTCAAATTTGGGTTAAGGATTTGGGCTGTAATATGGGTCGGTCTGTCTCTTAGGTCGTTGGGAGGACCATGCGCCAAATTAAACAGTTGAGAAAGGGACTGAAAGATGTGATGGTATGGCCCCTGCTGACATCTAGGCCGGATGTTGTACCACTTCTTTTCCCCAAAATGGCTGAAATGCAGTTCACACCCCAGGTAAGTCAGTAATTTAGTTATATTTGTGACTTAACTTGATGAATTTACGTGTATTTTCAATGACTGAGATGGATATTTTTCCATTTTCTAAGAATTTGATCTGCATAGTCCTTCACCAAAATAAGTTCTCCCTTTTTTTAAATTACAATTTTTGTTTTCTTTAAGATGCTCCTAGAAAAAATCACATGGCCAGTTGAGGACAGTGATGATGAAGACTTTGACTTAGACACCACCTGCCGCATCACTGGCTTTCTAAGGATGTTCATTGAAACAGGTATAAACCTTATTTTCTCTCTTTACAAATGCTTCTATGTCTCATGGATAGATA